CTTTTGGGATTGGGACCATCTAAATCAAATGGGGAGTGACTCTGAGAAACAGCCAGGGATTCCCCATCTCGGGGACTCGCGTTGCAAGTGGAGTCAGTATGGGTGTTGCATGTGCACGATTGTTAATCGGGTCCCTTCCCCCCCTGTCCTCCCACTGCCTGTGCCAGTTCTTAGGTTTCTGCACAGAGACTGTATGGGTGCATTTGCTTATTGGTTCTCCCTTTCTCATCCCAGGGCTGCGTACTTGTGACTGGCTTTTGTTCCCCTTCCTGTTCCGAGCTTGCATTTTGGGCCCCTCCCAGGAACCTGCCCTGAGGCTGCATGGGTGCTGTTGCTAATTGGTACCCTTACATTCTAGTGCAGTCACTAATGGGTTTCCCCTGCCTGGGAACTACAGTGGATTGGTTCCCCTCCATCCTGGAAGTGGCCTGGCCATATAACTAGGTGCTATCCTCTTATGCACTCTCATTTCTGTCCCCAGGAGGTGGAGCAGCTGCGCCTGGAACGTCTGCAAATCGATGAGCAGTTGCGGCAGATTGGCATGGGCTTCCGGCCCCTCTCCAGTCGAGCTGACAAGGAGCGAGGTGGCTATGCCACTGACGACAGCACCTCCTCCTCCCTCCATGGCACGCGGACGTATGGGGGTAGCTATGGCGGGCGAGGCCGTGGGCGCCGGGGACCCAACTCTGGCTACGGTAACCGAGGGGCTGTGGAGTGGCTCCCAGGGTGGGTTGGAGTTTGATGGATGGGCCCAACACTCAAGATTTTATAGCCCAAGGTGCCTTGGCCAAAATCTCTGCTTCACCTTGGGGATGGGTTGGTCAATGGGCTGGCCCCCGGAGGTGGCTGCATTTCAGCAAGGCTGTAAAACATTTCCTACAGAGAGGAGACAAAAAGTGTTTCCCTGGGTAGTGTGTGTCCTCCCTGCTGCTCGCTACAGCTTTGGGGAGCCCCCAGTGCAGATCAGCCTGTTGGAGTGGCACTCCCAATGGTGGCTCAGGGGCCCCACTGCTCTGTCCTCCCAGGTACCAACTCAGATGTGTCCAACGCCTCAGAGACTGAATCGGAGAAGAGAGACGACTGTGAGCGAGACCCGCGCCCTGAGGATAGCCGGAGGCGCCCGGGCATGGGACGAGGACGGGGTCCTACCCCAGCACCCCGAGGAGGAGGGGGCAGCAAGTACAACAATTCCTCCATTAGCTCAGGTGACTAGAGCCCTGTTAACTCCTGAGTGTACCCAGGGGCAGTTGGGGTAGGAGACTCTTGAACCCCAGAGTCTGAGCCATAGACCAGCTTGGGTCACTCCCCTTCAGCTCTTTCTTTTGTTCCCTGGCCTAATCTGTTGTGCTGTGTTGCTGTTAAACAGCTGCTGTGCCCTGCATCTCCTCGCCACCATATAAACGCGACTCAGAGCAAAGTTGAGTCTGGTGGGGGAAGAGGCTGTAATCTAGGACTCCTGGGTTCTTTGTTCTTGGTGAGGCTAGGCAGGGTTATTTGCCTCTCCCTTAGTGCTCAAGGACCCAGACAGCAACCCCTACAGCCTGCTGGACAACACGGAGACCGACCAGACAGCTGACACTGATGCCAGTGAGTCACAGCCAATAAACAACACCGATGAGGATGCAACCATGATGGATGGGGCTGCTGAGTCAGACAACACATCTGTCAATGAGAATGGCGTGGGTGAGTGGTGGGGGGCAGGGTGCTGGAATATCTGGGTTCTCGCCCCAGGAGTGGGGGCTGGTGGGTTAGAGCAGGTGGGCCTGGGAACCGGGACACCTGCATTCTCTCTCTGGCTCTGGGAGGAATGTCTCTGGAGAGGAAGGGGTTGGGGAACATTGGGGAGGCAGGACACCTGCGTTCACCCTCAGTTCTCCCCCCTGCTTTCCCAGAGGATGAATCAAAGCCTCAGAGACGCAATCGAAGCCGTCGCCGACGTAACCGTGGGAACCGCATGGAGGGCTCCATCAGCCGGGACCGGCAGCCAGGTACAGGGCTAAGGCAGTACTGGGCAAGAGGTGCAGCAGGACACACACCAGGCTTTTGTGTGTCTGCTGCTGTGTGGGTGTGAAGGGGGGCAGGAACAGTCCTGGGAACCCTCCCTGTGCATGAAGAGGCCAGCAGGGTCCCACTTATGAAGCACAGTGAGTGTGGCTGGATCTCCCAGCAGGCTCTTGGGAATTGACGCACGTCAGAGTAGCCTTGGGGCTTCTCCAGTTCATCCCAGCGGCCAAAATTCAGGCATTCGGAAGCTGGTGTAACCCTGCGGACTAAGGATGCTCAGTATTGTGTAATTGACTAATCGAACGGCTTTGCATCAACTATTTGATTAATCGCTAGATAGGGGGCCTCGACAGTAAAAATATATACCTATAATTAATGTGTGTCCGTTTTTAACGACTCCTTTAAAAACACGGAACTATTTGATTAGTCACTGCCCCTTTTAAATGCCACAGTGGTGTTTCAAGTGGCAGCACCACACCGAGCAGCTGACCCTGGGCTCCGTGTGGCGCAGCCTCTTTCCCCTCCCCTCACTTGCTGCCTCTGATAGACAGCAAGGGGGAGAAGCAACTAGTTGACTTGTCCTTAACATCCCTACTTCAGACCTCTGCCCCGGGGGACTCCTGGATCCTTTGTTGGTGACCGTGAGGTGGGCATTGTGAATTGGCCGCTCCCCTAGTTGACGTTCTGTCCCAGCTGTGTGTGTATGGGAGTGGGGGCAGCAGCTACCCGGCCCAGCAGCTGTTAGTAACCCAGGGCATGCTCCCTCCTCCCCAGTGACAGTTGCGGATTACATCTCCCGGGCCGAGTCCCAGAGCCGACAGCGGGCCCCACAGAATGAATCCCGGGAAAAATCCACCGAAGATGACACACCCAGACAAAAGGTAGGATGCGGAGCCTGCGGGACTGGGGAAAGGGCTGCGAGGCTGAGGCTGGAGCTAGTGGGCTGACCCCTTCTCCCTCCCCCTGCAGGTAGAGCCAGTCACCAAGGTTGCCAACGGCCCATCGGAGAATGGCGAGGAACCATCCGCCATGGTGAACGGGCTCTCATAAGCTCCAAGCCAAGAGAGATGCGACTGCTCCCTCTTACCTAACCGACCCTAGTCAACCCTCGAGCTCTCAGCCCTGCTTGCGTCATCGTTAAACAAAAACCCACTGATCTCTCGTTAATGAACCATTATTAAAAGAAAATAATTAATTACTCTAGTGCTTGTTGGAAGCTTGCCAAAGATAGGAAAGCTGTTCTGAGTATAATCTTCGTTAGGCTCAAACCAATCGAGACAGGGCAGTGAAAACCAAACCGTATTCTTCCCCTGCTGTCCGGGGAGTGGGCGAGGATCACATGCCCCTCCGGGCAAGGGGTCTCGACAGTAAAAATATATACCTGTAATTAATGTGTGTCCGTTTTTGACGACTCCTTTAAAAACACGAAACGCAAACCAGCTGCGTGTTTAAACCGGAGAGAGGATTTTTTTGTGCCTTCTGATAGCGCGTCCTCACGCAGAGCACGGGTCTGGCTCTTTCTTCCCTTCCTTTTTTCCTTCCGTCTAGTTCAGTTGGGTCTGCTGGGCAGAGACTTTGCAAAGGATGAGTCAGAGTAAATTGCTTACCCCCTCCACCTCCCAAAAATCGGAAGGCGCGATGGGCGGGGAGCACAGGGATGGGTTTTTGTTTCCAGGCAATACAAAAACAGCAGGTATTTTCTTTTCTTTCGTATGTTGTGGAGGTTGAACAGAAATGGCATTGGGGGGAGGGGGGGAAGGGGGAGAGCATAGAGCCAGCCCTGAACCAGTCGCTTTGCCGGGGCAGGCGGGAGAAATCGAGCTGTGACGGTTGAGACTTTATTTATTTTTCACTGTACAGTATTTAAAAGAGAATAAAGAACCAAACTGGTCAGCAAGCTACTTTCTCTTCCCCTCCCTGGAAACGTGTCGGAGGGGGGAAGAACCCCCCCCCCCATTGCTTTTCTTCCTGAGATGCACAGATCTTAAATAAAGCCGACGAAAAGCACCCAAGTCTGCTCTGCACCCTTTACTCACTGCTGCTGTTTTTCCATCATACAGCAGAGATGGAAAACTGCAGTTTCAGGTAGGCACTATGGCCATTCTGCATTCCTCTCCTAAATCGCCTGCTGGGCACTGAAGCATTGACTGGGAAAATCAGAGCCAAAGGAATGATTCTGGGCTGGAGGGGAGAAAGCTGAAGCTGTGAGGTGCTCCGTGGCTTTTAACCTAAAGGAGGTTGAGGCGATTGCTGCAGGATTGTGGTCCTGGGTCAGAAGGCCGCTGGAGCAGCCTGCGGTGCATATAGTTTCACTCTCCAGGTGCTGTGTTGCCACGGGGTGGGAAGGCCCCCCTGCCCCCAGTTCAGTCTCCTTCGCTCATTAACCATGGCAAGGGGCAGCCAGTTTTCTGGCTACACTTCAGCTTGCTGGGAAACCAAGTGGGTTCCTGTTGGTGGCCTTTCCCTGCCTGGCTCTCCCTTTATCCTACCCCAGGAGTTGAGGGATCCAAATGCCTAGCCATGCTTGGGGGCAGAATTTTTGACTTCTGCCCTCCCAGTGCAGGGTGAGGGGGACAGACTGCAGGTTTGTGACCAACAGGAGAAGGTGTAATTACTAGGACTGGCCCCTGGGGGAAGAGGCATACTAGGCAGAGCAAGGGGGCTCCCAGTCCCAAACCACTGGGAGGGAGCAGTTAGTGTAAATGCTGTGAGGTGGTCAGACCAGGTTTGGAGCTGGGAGGCTGCAGGGGTTGGGATCTGGGACTCCTGGGTTCTCTTGCTGGTTTGGGGAGTGACTGGCACCTACAACCCAGTTGTCCTAGCCTGAAGTACAGGTAGGGCTGGGCATCAGTTGGGACCCACCCCAGAGATGGCTGCAGTGTTGGCCTCCAAGACCTGTCCCTTGCAGGGGGTAGGACACACCAAGTTTGGCATGTCCTTGTATTACCCAGACCCTGCCCCTTGGGTATCTCCCATTCTATGACAGTACCTGGGACACCTGCATTCCCCACAGCTGGAGGGCAGGAGCAGAGCTGCCCTGCTTTTCCATGTACCTGCAGTGCTAGAGGGTCCTTGGGGGGACGACTCAGCAGAGGCGCTCTCCCCTGGCAGGCAGGGCTGGCCCCAGGGACTTATTCAGCAGAGGGGACAATGGGGTTTATCATCCCAGCTTGTGCTCCCCAAGACTTGAGGGGGAGGAGGCTGGACTCACTTTTTGTCCAGCCCAGATCCAGGTCTCTGGCCAGCGGGGTGCTACATTCCCCTTACAAGCCCAGCTTCACCCCCAGAGAGAGCATGCGGGAGGGCCTAGTTCTCTCCCTTCTGCTGGTGGGCATAAATGGCAAGTAAGGAATCCTGGGTTTTCTCCCTGGTGCTGGGAGGGGAGTGGGGAGGGCTGAGAGTCAGGTAGGTGTAGGCAGGGCTAGCCTGGCTGGGTGGAGCAAGAGGCAGATACTTCCTTGTCTGCCTGAAGGAGCAGACGTGTGGGGAGTTCCACCCAGCAGGGGCAGGGCCAGTGGGTGGGCGTGGCAATGCAGGGCTATTTCCCTGTCCCCACATGCAGGCAAGGGCTCAGACCCGGCAGTGAGGGGGCCGGGTATGGCTGAGGGGGTGGGCATGGCAGGGGCGCCGGTGGGCGAGCCCTTGGACAAGGTGAAGCGGCCCATGAATGCCTTCATGGTGTGGTCCAGCGGGCAGCGGCGGCGCCTGGCACAGGAGCACCCCAAGATGCACAACTCCGAGATCTCCAAGCGCCTGGGGGCGGCCTGGCGCCGGCTGGGCGAGGCTGAGAAACGCCCCTTCATCGAGGAGGCCAAGCGTCTCCGGGCCTGCCATATGAAGGACTATCCTGACTACAAGTACCGGCCCCGGCGCAAGGGCCGGGCACCCACCAAGGAACTGCCCACAGGCCGTCCGCCCCCACAGCTGCCTGCCTCCAGACCCTGGGGCTACAGTGAGCCACTAGCCTACCAACCGCCCCGTTATCCGCAGTACCCGGCTAGCCAGGCCTACGGGAACGCCGCTGGAGGGTACAGGTGGGTCCCGTGCTGCTGCTGCCCCAAGGGCATTGCTTTGCCATTTGTTTGAACTCCATTTCTGTGCTTTCTGTTCTTTTCTCTTCCTCCCTGTGTGTCCCTAAGTCAGTGCCCCTGGACTAGAGGTAGGGTCTGGCAGGGAGCTAGGCACAAACCCTAAATCCTTTTGCTGGTTTGTTCCCTTTCCCCTGGTCCAGAAGGGATGAAATTAGGCCAGCTGAGGGGGGTCTGTGTGTAACCTGCTCCACAGATGGCCGCACCTCAGCACGAGGTGGAGTCTCTCCACAAGCAGTTGCCCTTACCCAGAGGTGGCTGCATGTCAGTGCCAGGTGCAGGCTAGGCCCCTAGAATAGAATACATATTCCAGGTGCTGGTCAGGACTCAGCTCCTGCCCCAGAATTTGCATCTAACTGTTAAGGTGATTGTGGGATGAGTCAGCGGAGGGAGGGGGGAGGTAAGCTGCCCATAGCACCCATGGGCCCTGCCAGCTGTTGTGATCCCCAGGGGATACCATGAAGTGAAGGCTTCCCAGTGGTGAACCCAGGTGTCCTGACTCCCAGCTGCCTCTAGCCCCTGCTAGGATTGATCCCAGGAGTCCTGACTCCCTAGTATGACAGGATGTTACCTTCCCTGCCCTAGGACTTTGGGTCCTGGCCAGGAGTGGGGTAGGGCACCAGGTGGTGCCTGTCCTGCAGTGGGCAAGGATTCACTATGCCCTGAACAAAGGGGTCATGACCCAGCCAGGCTATGTCCAATCCATGGCTTGGCTCCACTCCCTGTACCCAGGGTGGGTGGGTCTGGCTGTAGGATCTAGTGCTGTGGGGAGAGGAAACAGATACAAGTAATAGAACCCAGGCATCCTGGCTCCCAGCATTCCCTGCTCTAACTACTAGGTTCCACTATGAAGTGGTTCCTACATGAAGCAGCAGGGGATCTCTGGTCGGGGGTAGGGGGAGGGAAGGGGAATGCTCAGAGCAGGCATCTTGGAGGCTGGGTGCCAGGACACCTGGGTTCCATCCCTGGCCCCGGGAGGGAGGGAGGGGAGGGCAGGGCAGGCTGGGGCAGGCTGTGGGGGAGCCGCTCACATGCCCAGAACCGGATTAACAGGCCGCCTGAGGAATGCAGCCCTGGCTCACCCAGCCCTGCGGAGGGGAGCCTCTTCCTGCAGCTGCAGGGGCAGGGCTGGCATCCTCTCCCCTGCCTCTCCCCATGAGATCTCCCAGCATTGGGGAGCAAACCCATAAGTGCTGGCTCCAAGCCCCACTGCTCTAACCACTGGACCCCACTCTCCTCCCAGAGTGAGGAAACATCCCCCTCCCATACTAGAAACCCTGTCATTAGTTGCTCATTAGTCTCAGCAGTGAAAAGCTGAGCAGTAATGAGGAAAGCAGGGGATGCAGTCGGGTGCCTTTGGGGCAGGATGAACCCAGAAGTCTGGGCCAGGCCACTGAACTCTCTGACTGGGGAGAAGCTGGGAGAGCATAGAAAGCAGTGGGGCTAGTGGCTGTGGGGGGCTGGGAACCAAGATTCCTGAGTTCTCTCCCCAATGCTAGGAGCAAGGGGGAGGATTAAGTGTTTGGGTGGAAAAGAGCAAGGTCCCAGACATTCAGGGAAAAACTCAAGAGGAGCTGTGTTCTCCCCAGTCATTTAACCCTTCTCTGCTTTTGTCATCCCCCTGCAGTAGCCTGTCCTACGGGCCCCTGGCCCCGATGCCCTACAAGCAAGACCCCCAACCCCACCCAGAGGGGGTGCTGCCAGCTGACTTCCGTGACATGATGGCTGCCTATGGCCTGCAGGCTTGCGACATGGGCGAGAGCTTCCCGCAGCCACCCTACGAGGCTCCTGGGCTGACGCCCCTCTAGCCCTGCTGCAGGGCAGGACTGAGGGAGGCTTTTATACAGAAAGAAAAACATCAAGGAAACCACTCAGGAGGAGCTGTGGGTGCAGCACATGGGCTGGCAGCTGGAGTAATGGGGGGAGAAGAAGGTGGAAACCCCCCTCCCAATACTTTAGAGCAACCCCAACTGTTAATCTTTCCAGGCTGGCTTCTAATCCATTCCCTCCCCCTTACCCCCCCGCCCCCTTTCACGGCTGCTTCTGTTCTACTTCACCCAGGTGGAAGCAGGGGAGAGGGGGCTGGAGAACTTGGGGAGGAGATGAAAAATTAGGTGTTTTTGGAGGCACAGCAGGAGGAGCCCCCTGAGAAGGTACTGGCTGGCTGTATATCTTAATGCCACTTGTCAACCTGTTTTGTAAAGACAATAAACCAGGCTTCTGGAGGTGGGTCTAGCCCCAGAGCATTACTGGGGGAGGGAGAAGGAGGGAGCAAAGGGCAACTGAGACATTGGATAAGGGGCAGTAACAGACCCTCTCTGCCCCCCACATTTGCAGGATCATTGCAGGCAATGCCTCTTGCTTCATACCTGCTAGTCCACCTGGGGTTCCACAGCCCTGCTCCCCAAGCTCTATCAGTGCTCCTTACTCCTGACCTCCAGCCCCCTCCCACAACCCCTTGATAATTCTTCCCTGGAGCAGCCCAGAAAAGAGCTAGGGCAGTGGTTTCCAGCCTTTTTAATCACAAGATCACTCTTCAATTTCAGTGCAATGTAAGATCTACCACAAACCCAAATACCCATGTCCCGTTTCCTTCCTGCCCCTTCAAGGCCCTCCCCCTGCTCACTCCACCCCCTTTATCCCCCCCATCCTCATTCACTTGCACCAAGCTGAGGTAGGGGGTTGCGGTACATGGTTTGTCTTGGGCCAAAGGGTTTGGAGTGTGGGAGGGGCTCTGGGCTTGGGCCAGGAGAGGGTTCAGGGTACAAGCTCTGGCAAGGAGTTTGGGTGCAGGGGAAAGTTCAGGAAGCAGGCTCTGGGCCTGGTTTAACTGAGATGGCTTCTGGGTGGTGAAGGAGTGGGGTTAAGGCAGGCCTCCTCTTGCCTGGCCTTGCACCACTCCTGAAAGCAGCTAGCATGTACAGCAACGGTTCTATGGCACCATGTGGTGCCCCTTATCTACCAGCCATAGTTTCCTATTGTTGATCAAAGGGAGCTGCAGGCAAGGACAGCATGTGGAGACCCCCTGCTCTGTCTTTGAGGGGCTACAGGGACATGCCAGTTGTGTCTAGGAGCAGCAATTACCACAGCAATAATTACTCCTGCCCAGTAAGGTTTGGCATTTTAGAACTCACCACTCAATTAAATTTAAGTGTAAGAGAAATTAAAATGATGAAATGCACAGACCAGTCAAAAACCAAGAACAACTCTCTTCCCTCCCCCCACCCCCCCCATCCATATGTATGTGTTGGGGCAGGAGATGAGGGAAGGACAGTGTGTTTGTGAGTGACAGACACACAGTGTAGAATAGTGGTAGAAATGTAGCCATGTTAGTCTGGTGCAGCTGAAACAAAAAACAGGACTGAATATTGCTGAGCCTCATTTGCATACCTAAAGAGCCTTTTTTTCAGAAGAAGCTCTTGCACAAGGAGGGTCTACACTGCCCCTTGTACAAGAAGACCCCTCTTGCGCAGCGCCGTTACACCTATTACTTTTCAGGAAGAATGGCATTGCTCAAGAGGGGGCAGCGTAGACACTCCTTGAGCAAGAGCCTCTTCTGAAAAAAATGGTGGCTCATTAGGTATGCAAATGAGGCTCAGCAATATTCTACACTTAGCCTTATTTGCATATTAATTGTCTTCCCCCCCCGCCCCCTTTCACGGCTGCTTCTGTTCTACTTCACCCAGGTGGAAGCAGGGGAGAGGGGGCTGGAGAACTTGGGGAGGAGATGAAAAATTAGGTGTTTTTGGAGGCACAGCAGGAGGAGCCCCCTGAGAAGGTACTGGCTGGCTGTATATCTTAATGCCACTTGTCAACCTGTTTTGTAAAGACAATAAACCAGGCTTCTGGAGGTGGGTCTAGCCCCAGAGCATTACTGGGGGAGGGAGAAGGAGGGAGCAAAGGGCAACTGAGACATTGGATAAGGGGCAGTAACAGACCCTCTCTGCCCCCCACATTTGCAGGATCATTGCAGGCAATGCCTCTTGCTTCATACCTGCTAGTCCACCTGGGGTTCCACAGCCCTGCTCCCCAAGCTCTATCAGTGCTCCTTACTCCTGACCTCCAGCCCCCTCCCACAACCCCTTGATAATTCTTCCCTGGAGCAGCCCAGAAAAGAGCTAGGGCAGTGGTTTCCAGCCTTTTTAATCACAAGATCACTCTTCAATTTCAGTGCAATGTAAGATCTACCACAAACCCAAATACCCATGTCCCGTTTCCTTCCTGCCCCTTCAAGGCCCTCCCCCTGCTCACTCCACCCCCTTTATCCCCCCCATCCTCATTCACTTGCACCAAGCTGAGGTAGGGGGTTGCGGTACATGGTTTGTCTTGGGCCAAAGGGTTTGGAGTGTGGGAGGGGCTCTGGGCTTGGGCCAGGAGAGGGTTCAGGGTACAAGCTCTGGCAAGGAGTTTGGGTGCAGGGGAAAGTTCAGGAAGCAGGCTCTGGGCCTGGTTTAACTGAGATGGCTTCTGGGTGGTGAAGGAGTGGGGTTAAGGCAGGCCTCCTCTTGCCTGGCCTTGCACCACTCCTGAAAGCAGCTAGCATGTACAGCAACGGTTCTATGGCACCATGTGGTGCCCCTTATCTACCAGCCATAGTTTCCTATTGTTGATCAAAGGGAGCTGCAGGCAAGGACAGCATGTGGAGACCCCCTGCTCTGTCTTTGAGGGGCTACAGGGACATGCCAGTTGTGTCTAGGAGCAGCAATTACCACAGCAATAATTACTCCTGCCCAGTAAGGTTTGGCATTTTAGAACTCACCACTCAATTAAATTTAAGTGTAAGAGAAATTAAAATGATGAAATGCACAGACCAGTCAAAAACCAAGAACAACTCTCTTCCCTCCCCCCACCCCCCCCATCCATATGTATGTGTTGGGGCAGGAGATGAGGGAAGGACAGTGTGTTTGTGTGTGAGAGTGACAGAGACACACACAGTGTGTGAGTGTGACAGAGATTTGCAGAGGGTCTACACTGCCCCTTGTACAAGAAGACCCCTCTTGCGCAGCGCCGTTACACCTATTACTTTTCAGGAAGAATGGCATTGCTCAAGAGGGGGCAGCGTAGACACTCCTTGAGCAAGAGCCTCTTCTGAAAAAAATGGTGGCTCATTAGGTATGCAAATGAGGCTCAGCAATATTCTACACTTAGCCTTATTTGCATATTAATTGTGAAAAAAGCCACAAGTGTAGACATAGCATCTGTGTGGAGATAGGGTACAGGAGTGGGGATAGGACAGACACTCTGACATCAGCTCCCCCCCATCTCCCTTCCACATCCTGCACAGCAAGCAGGGGGCAGCTCCAAGGCAGAGGGCAGGAGCAGCATGACAGTGGGTAGACAGCAACTGAAGTGCCAGCGTTTGATAGCTTCCTGCCAAACTAGTCAGGATCCCCTGTCAGAGGCTCTGATCTACTGGTTAGTGACCCCTGGCCTAGGGGTGCCCATACTGAGAGTAAGGAAGGGTTAAAGCAACAGGACCATGGTGTTGTATGGGGAAAATGGGGGCAGGGCTGGGAGCCAGAACCGCTGAGTTCTCTCCTGGCTTTGGGTTTGAAGGGCTGAGGGATTAGAGAAGCAGAGGCTGGAAGCCAGGATGCCTGGGTTCTCCCTGGCTCCAGGCAGTAGGGAGGGGAAATACTGTGACCCCACCTGCACCTGGGGCCTCTTCAAAGCAGCTGCCATGGCATCAGCAAGCCAAACCCCACCCTGTAACTGCCCTGGGCCTGGAGACACAAACAACCACTCCCAGCCCATCACCTTTAAGTGACACAGCTCCAGGTTCTGCTCTGCCAGAGGCCTTCACTCCTTCTTGCAGCCCCTCCCAGCCCCTGGCTCTCACTTTGGACCCGCAGTTCCCAGAGGTCAGGGAAGGTCGCAGCTAACAAATTAACCCCACATGTGCCAGGGAATGGGAGCAGTAGAGAAAGGTGATGGGGCCATTGCCCTGGTAATAGAATGTTTGGTCCCAGCTGCAACATGAGTTTCTGCCTGTTCCCACTCCCAGTTACCACAGTAACCAGGGCAGGGCTCAGAATCCACATGTTCTGACAGGAAGGGGTGAATCAGCCACAGAAACTTGCTGTGGGGGCACCTGCAGAGGGATCCCAGGGCTGAGCCTGCCCCCACCCAGGGAGAGACCCAGGAGTGCTGGCTCCCAGCATCAGCAGGGACTCTAGGCAGACAGGGCTCCATGCCTGGTTTGGCTTTGCCCTGCCCCATCTGGTGCCAGTTTATCCCAGGGCCAGGAGCATGGGGGTGGAACAGTGGTGACTAATTGGAATGATTAGCAACAAACTCATTAGTTGTTGGGGGTGTCCCTGTCTGCCTTCTTGATTGCTGCTCCCCCTGCCCCAGTCAACCTTCCTTCTGCGCCCTGGCCCTGCAACGAGTCCCACAGATTCCTTCCTTCCCTGATGGGGCAGGCACAATGGCTAAGCGCTCATGAAAACTCAGCATTTAATTAAGGGGGGGGCACTTACAGGCCTAGCTCCTCCCTGCCAGAGCCCAGCTGGTAAAAGGAGCACAGACCCTTGACAAAGCCAAGAAAGGGAAAGTGGGGGGAGGGGAACAGATCAGGCTGGCTGAGAGGGGTCCCTCTAGAGAGTGCTGATGAGCCAGAAGGCAGGCAGCTCTGCTCCCCCCTCGATAGGACTCAGATTATAGTGGGGCAGAGCCAGCCCTGCTGACTGCCTGCTTGTTAGCAAGCTACAGTTGTCAGCTCCCAAACCCCTCTGGGGTCCCCGCCCTCCTATGCCTGCTTCTTCCTGGCCTCCACGCCGGCCGACATGTCCCAGTAGTACAGCAGCTGGCCTGCGATAACCCCATTGCAGACAGACGAGACCACATAGGTGACAGCCATCAGGGGATCTCCTGTCTCCTAGCAGGACAGACAGACAGAGGTAAGATTACAAAGAAGGGCAGTGACTGGCTGGCTGGCTCAGGGGGCAGGAAATGGGACATGGGGCTTGTCCTCTCTGAGAATGCCAATTCTGGTCTCAGTTCATGCACATGTCACATCACACCCCACCCACCAGGGAGACTGAACAAGCCCCAGACACACTGAATGCCATCCGACTAGGAACATGATAGGGCCATGCTCACAGGGATTGTGAGAAAGAACCCCCATGGTGCCCTTTGACCCAACGCTCATACCTCCCTCCAAAAAGGGGGGATGGCACTACCTGCACGGAAGTGAAAATCCGGGCCAGCGAGCCAGCAAAGAGCAGGAAGATGGTGATGGCTGACAGCTGCCCCGTGTGTCCATTGTGGTAGTTGGTGGCTGCCTGGAGCACCTGGGGGGAGGGGAAGAGAAGAAAGACATCCCACTGCTGATCAGCAGCTTAGACAGAACTCTGCCTCCACTGCATCATGAGCCCCCATCATTCTATCCATGGCCCCCCATGCTCTGGGGAGTGAGTCCCTCTGTATGGAGGCAGCCCCACAAAAACAAACATAGCATCCCACCAGTGCACCCTAAGCCAAGCCATCCTCTGTATGCAGGATTCAATGGGAATGGGAGCCAGCACCCCCTACAGGGGACAGGCCCCATGGACCATTCTCTGCCCACCCTGAGCCAGGCAGTCCCTGGCACCTCTAAAGGGGACAGGGCCCATTGTTGCTCCAGGAGGTTCTGAGGAAGAACTGGCACTTACTCGGCTGATGATGATAGCGGGCATGTTGGTGGCTTGCAGCAGAGTGACCACGGCCTGGGGCACAAGGGGGGACAGCAACAGAGCGAGCAGAGCAAAATACAGCACTAGGAAAGAGATACCTGGTGGGGGGGGGAGAATGGGAGAAAGTTAAATCCCCCCCATGTACAGATCCATCTACAGCTCCTCCCCTTCTGCAAGCCCCACTGGCACCCCACTTACCTTGTGCTGTGCGACCCCCGAAATGCTGGGCCAGGAAGCCAATGGCGACTGTTTGAAGCATAAGGAAGAGAGCCTCTCCCCAAGCACTGGGGAAAGAGAACATGAGATCAAGTTCCCCCCAATGACCCATTGTTTCTTCAGCCAGCCAGTCCTGTTCCCCTCCAAGAGCCAAGGAGAGGACCCAGGAGCCCCAGTTTGCAGCCCCCTGCTCTAAACTGCCAGCCCCACTCCCTTCCCAGAGCTGAGGAGATGACCCAGGAGTTCTGGCACCCAGCTCCCATTGCTCTGACGCACTGGACTCCACCAATGTGAGCTCTCTCCTCCAGTGCTGACCCCACTTCAGTTCAGACTAGAAATGTTAGTGTGTAGTCATTACATGATTAACTAATAATCCCAGGCTTATTGGTTAACCCTAGTGACTACATGCAGCCCCCTCCCAGGCTACCTCTGTATCAGAGACAGGAGCAGGTACCCACGGGGAACCAACTTTTAAGTGTGCCATCTCCCGTGGAGATGCCTGCCCCCCGCACTGCTGCCTCTGATAGAAAGGCAGCAACACAGAGGGGAGGTGGAGGTAGACAGGAGACAGTACACATGGGAAGCCAGCTTTCAAGCCAGCTCCCCACACATATCAGCTCCTGCCAAGCCACCTGCCCCGCCACCCTTTCGTGTGTGGGGGGAGAGGACAGTCAGGAGGTGTAACACATGCAAAACAGCTTTCAAGCCAGCTCCCCATGTGTATCAGCTCCCGTGGAGTTGCCTGCTCCCCATACTGTCTCTTTTTCAGAGGCAGCAGGGTGGCACAGGTGGGAGCAGGAACTCTGGCTTAAAAGCCAGCTCCCCACAAGCAATGGCTCCCACCTCCCCTCACGTATAAACGTGTAACCATTTAAACAGTGGTTGTACATTTACACAAATACATGTTAGTTAGCATCCCTAGTTCAGACCCACCAGGTGCGGGAGCTGCTCTGTGGCTAGTAGTGGTGTCACAGGGTTGGGTCTCCCTCTGGTGGCAAGGAGGGGCAGGCGCAGCCTCACCTGAAGGGGAAGCTGTTGGCCACGCTGTACACCATGGTGCCCGTGATGGCCAGTAGCTCCAGTAGGATAGAGTTAAAACTAAGCCCCTCAGCACTCTTCGCCTTCAGGATCTTAAACACCTGAGGCAGCTTCACTGCAGGGAGACAAAATACACATCAGAGCCGAGGGCAGCCTCATAACCCCGAGCCAGCCAGTCTCTAGCCCTGGGGCTGTGTTGGTACCGGCACCTCCTAGAGAGGGGACAGGACCTGTGCCCCATTCCCATCCCCCCAGGTGCTGAGAAGAGGTCAAGGGGGCAGATCCATACCCATAAGTGACCCTGCAACGATGGCGATTCCTAGACATTTGCTGATCAGGATCTTCAGACAGGGAACTGCCCACAAAGGAAATGGAGCAGAAGAAGAGAAGAGAGTTCAGTACACAGTAGGGCAGCAGCATGCCCATCCCCAGCCCCCAAGCCTCTGTGCTTAGCACCTGCCTTATACGCAAGGGCATCCTCCCCCATGATCTCTTTCTCCCCAGGTGGGGCAACCTGGGGTCAAACATGGAGTCCAGGTCAGGTCACAAGCAATACCCATCCCCCATCCCACAGCAACTAGGGCTATGTCTACACTTGCGGCTTCTTGCGCAATATGCCAATGAGGCTAAGCATGGAATATCGCCGAGCCTCATTTGCATACCTAATGAGTATGCAAAAAACCCTCTTGTACAAGAAGGGGCAGTGTAGATGCTCTTTCTTGCGCAAGAGTCTCGGCTGAAAAAAATGGTGGCTCATTAGGTATGCAAATGAGGCTCGGCGATATTCCATGCTTAGCCTCATTTGCATATTACTCAGATTCATAGACTTTAAGGTCTGAAGGGACCATTATGATCATCTAGTCCGACCCCCTGCATAGTGCAGGCCACAAAATCTCACCCACCCCTCCTAGAATAATCCTCTCACCTATATCTCAGATATTGAAGCCTTCAAATACTTTGAAGACCCCAAGATGCAGAGAATCCTCCAGCTGTGATCTGTGCCCCATGCTACAGAGGAAGGTGAAAAACCTCCAGGACCTCTGCCAATCTACCCTGGAGGAAAATTCCTTCTCAACCCCAAATATGGCGATCAGCTAAACCCTGAGCATGTGGGCAAGACTCATCAGCCAGACACCCAGAAAGTTCTGTATAGTAACTCCTAACCTTCCTCCATTGACCTATTTCCCACTGATAATGAATGGTCAATTAGTTACCAAGATCATGTTATCTCATCAAACCATCCCCTTCATCAACCCATCTAGTTTAATCTTGAAGCCAGATAGATCTTTTGCCCCCACTACTTCCTTTGGAAGAACGTTCCAGAACCTCACTCCTCTAATTGTTAGAAACCTTCGTCTAATCTGAAGTCTAAACTTCCTACTAGCCAGCTTATATCCATTTGTTCTTGTGTCCACATTGGTATTAAGCTTAAATAATTCCTCTCCCTCCCTGGTATTTATCCCTCTAATATATTTAAAAAGTGCAATCATGTCCCCCCTCAGCCTTCTTTTGGTTAAAGTAAACAAGCCAAGCTCCCTGAGTCTCCTTTCATAAGACAGGTTTTCCATTCCTCGGGGCCCCAGAGTGGCAGACCAGTGAGGGTCGTGACGTGCCCCCCGCGAGGCATGAGTTAAAAGTGACAATCGCCCACGGTCCCCCGTCTGCGGAGCACTTCCGCCCCGCGCCGCTGGAACAGAAAAACGCCAAACACAGCACTTCCGGTCTGCGGTTACTATCTAGCGCCCTACACCACCATGGCGCCTGCACTGAGTGTTTCCGGTCGCGCCCAGTAACTTCCGCCCTACCCCATCATGGCGACCGAGTGCCTCGCGCTTCATTCTTCCGCGCTACCGGCAGCAGGCACTGAAAGGTTGCCATAGCGCCCGGGCTCACCGTGCAGCAGGTTGAAGCGCAGCAGCAGCTCATCGTAGCAGCGCTCGGGGAGCAGGTGCGGGACCAGCAGCCCCCTCAGCAGCGCCTCCGCCGCCATCTTGGGAAATGGCGGCGGTCCAGCACTTCCGCCTCCATGTCACCATGGAGGCCCTGTCCCACTGCGCAGACGCACTGGCTCCTTCACACTCCTGCGCATGTGCGCCTCGTTACCATCTCTTTTGTGAGCATGAGCCCTGTCCCATGTGCAGCGCTCTCTCTTGCGCGCATGCTCCCTGTGCCCTGCGCTCAGCGCGCATGTGCTCCCTGCCCTCTTCCCAGCTCTCTCGCCTTCCTTGCGGCGCCTGCGCCTTCTGTGCCCCTCTTAGTTCCCCCCCCCTCCGGCGCATGCGCCCT